AGGAAGGAAGGAAGGAAGAAAGAAAGAAAGAAAGAAAGAAAGAAAGAAAGAAAGAAAGAAAGAAAGAAAGAAAGAAAGAAAGAAAGAAAGAAAGAAGATGCAGGGTCAGTGCTCCACTACTGAGCTGTGTCCCCAGCTCCAAGAGAGACGGTCTCTTGATAATAGTAATAAATCATCCAGGAGCTGAGTGATAGATGGGAGTATGTCATGACATGCTCCTGCATGCTCCATTCTTAATCGGGGATTCAAGCTTTAACATAAGAATGTAAGCTCTGCTCATATTTGTTCCAGCTGTCACTGACAGGGTAGTATAATGCCTCAACAGCTCTGATACCTACGATGGCATTTTGAGAATAATAGGGTTTTTTTTTTTTTTCCTTTATAGCTGTAAGTATCGCATTCCTTGTTGGTCTAGCACTCATCATCGCGGTATCTTTCCTGAGGCTCCTGCTGAGGTAAGTTGTTGAGGAGAGCGTGACTAGGAAACATAGACCCAGAATAATGTACCCAGAAAGGGTAACTTGGCCCTCGACTCACCGTCTCCCCTCGCAGGCCAGTCCCCAGAAGCAAACACACACGGCTGACCATTATTCTGTGTTTAATGAGCATTTGTGCATCTGCCGGTTCTGTTCTGGTCCTGGGCATCCGAGCAGACTCTATAGTCTCTGACCGTAAGGCATGCTCGTGAAGGTGCAGATGGGCTTTTGCCTTCCATTCTCCCAACGTGGCTGCAGAGGAAGATGTCTGAGAATCATTTAGTTCCTAAAGAACCTCCGGGATTGAGTTTTGGTTAGTGGAGGTGGTTTCTAATATCTTTCGGAGAAGGCTGCCACACTGGAATCTCCTCCTCTTCTCTGCTTCTGAGTCTTGCTGACCCCTCCACTCCATCTTTCTCTGCTCCCCATTAGCTCAGGGGTCAGGGGGCAAAGGGCAGCACCAGGGCAGCATGTAGCTCAGGACCTCAGCGTGGACTCCCTTTCCTGTGGGCAGAAGCATCTGAGTAGAGAGGACATTTGGCCGTCTCTGCCTAGTTAACAGGGACCCTGGGGAGTGAACCAGTGGACAAGACAAGAAAAATGGAGCAAACCAGATCCTGGTTTAATCAACTTGAAGATTTAATTAATTTATTTTTAAAAAGTAGTTTGTATGTGTGTGCCTTGTCTTTCTGTGTGTCTGTCTGTCTCTCTGTCTGTGTATCTGTTCGCGCACTCGTGTGTGTGTGTGTGTGTGTGTGTGTGTGTGTGTGTGTGTGTGTGTGTGTGTGTCCATCCACAGAGGCCAGAGACATTGGATCTCCTGAAGCTGGAGTTAAGGTAGTTGTGAACCACCCCATGTAGGTGCTGGGACCCAAACTCAGGTCTTCTTTAAGAACAGAATACATTCTTAATTGCCAAGCAGGATGGTCATTGTACGCACACATGTAATCCCAACAATTGGAGGGTAGAGGAAGGAGGATCTTGAGTTTGAGTTCAAAGCCAGCCTTGGCTACAGAGTGAAACTCAGCCTTAGGAAGGAAGGACGGAAGGAAAGAAACACTGCATTTTCACGTGTTCATCCCGTTAGGGTCTTGGGTCTCCTGAAGGACCACAGACTTCATTAGTAAGCTGTGTTCTGTAATGCGTCTTTCTCTGGCCCGCCAGCAAGCTCCCAAGTAATGACATGAGGACTTATTATGAAAGCTCGGCCTATAGCTTAGGCTTGTCCCTAACTAACTCTTATAACTTAAGTTAACCTCTTTATATTAAGCTACGTTCTATCATGTGGCGTTACCTCTCTTCCATCTTGCACCTCCTGTTTCCCCTCTGTGTCTCTTGGTGTCTCCTGCCCCTCGATTCTTTCTCCTCTTCCTTTCTTTCCCTGGAAATCCCATCTCTTCCTCCTGCCTAGCTATTGGCCATTCAGCTCTTTATTAAACCAGTCACAGAAATTATCTTCACATAGAGTACAAATGCCCCTCAACAGTGTTCAGATTGGGAGAATGAAAATATAACCGTAGTTTGGCTGCCTTGAGGGAGCTTATGTATTCTGAACTTTCTAGCTTTGTGAGTGTTGGAAACTCACATCACTTTCATCCCGTGTCTAAGAAACCTGACCTTCTCACGCGCTGCTTGGATGTGAACATTTGACTCAGCAGCTTCCCGGGGAGAAAGTAGACTTCTCGCAGTTTCATTTCTTTGGAGTCAGTTATTAGCTTGTCAGTCTTCTGGTAAGATGGACCGGCTGGTTTAATATAGCAGTGTGCTTTCTCTTGGTGCTTTTCATGTGAATGGATCTGCCCCTTCGCTCCATAGTGACAGACAGCTGGAATGAGCTGTTTGCAAGGAGGAGACGTGTGTCTTGTCGTCTTGCCCTCTGTGTAGTTGGACTAATCTTGGCCTCTCCTGGGGTGGGGGTGTGGACGGAATGCTCTGGCAGGAGGGACGCTAACGGCCACCCCTTGGCCCATTGTTTCCCAGTACCCCTGTGTAAGTTCAAGGACGTTTCAAGAATGTCCCCTTCCACTTGGGGAAGAGGCAGCCAAAGACAAGTGTTTGTTTGTCGTAAGTGTTTCAACTTCTCCATTTTGGTGCTTCCTTGCCCGTGTCTATTTTAATGTTCTCATGTGATGGTGACGTGAGCAGGGCTGTGTGGACCGGAAATGGTCCTGGTGTGTAAGGGGAGACCCAAGTGGAAGCGTTCGCTATGTGGAGGATGTGTGGGGCCCATCTGCACACTTGAGTGTGAAGAACACCTATAGCCAGGGAACTGAGCCGGCCATGGGACGGTGGTAAGGAATGTCGCTGTCGTTCATGTGCAGTGATGGGAAAGGTCTGCTCCATGGCACTGGCCGCCAAGCCTGGCGACCTGACCAACTCCAGTTCCACATGGAGGAGAGAACCAACCCCAGCAAGTTGTCCTCTGACCCCCACACCATGGCATGTGCACACCTCCCCCACATACTAAATAAACTCAAGAAAATCACTGTAAAGTATAGTAACATCATGACTGTGTTTAGAAATAAAACAGTTTTTCCCTTTTACAGATACCTCAGTGTTTATGGATGAGGTGATTTTATGCCCAGGCTTTCTGAAAATTGTAAAAGGCAGTGAGTCAGGAGGGGAAGTAAAATTGCCCATGTGTGGATATTTGAAGCTCAGTGACTCATTGTATTTATTAAAACATATGGGCGGCTTCGTTTTAAAGCAAGCTGAGTTGTAATTTTTGGGTTTTTTTTTTTTTTTTTTTCAAGACAGGGTTTCTCTGTGTATCTCTGACTGTCCTGGAACTCACTCTGTAGATCAGCCTGGCCTTGAACTCAGAGATGCACCCTCTTCTGCCTCCTGAGTGCTGGGACTAAAGGCATGCAATGCCATGCCCTGCCAAATATTCTGTTTTTTTTTTTTTTTTTTT